GAGGCTTGACCAGTTTATGTCTGCGGCGGCTGCAGAGATGGCACGCACATGGGAATTCATCTGACTTGCAATGGCAACCCGCGAACAACATGCAGCACAATCGGCCTTGGTGTTCCTGCTGGACTTTTGCCATTTGTTCCAGGATCTGCCAGCAACATCTGCGACATCTTCGACATCCTGTCCTCAATGTGCCAGAAATACAGGGGCTTGAAGGGTGCCACCGAAGAGTTTCCTCACACCGCCTGACGGCCACGGTGTCGGATTCGTGGGTGCCCGAAGACTACGGGACCCACCCTCATGCCATCTTGCCTGTCTAGAAAACAAGCCTACATGCATACTGCATACTCTTCATTGGCCCTGCAAAATACAGTATCAGTATCCCCATAGCATGCCCCCTGCAGGCGAAGAGCTTGAAAAGAGTCCTCATGGTTTTAGAGCCCCCCCTGCTAGCTGTGTCGTGGAGCCCTCAGGCTTGCGGGAAGCACGAGCGCGAGGAGGCTGACGCGCCCAGGGAAGGACAGCCTCAGCTCGTCTAGAGTGGAGGTTGCCACTGGGAGTATGCATCGTGCGAGTGCTGCAGGGCTGTATCTGAAGGCGGACTCAGGGGCTGTATTAGGGGCAATATTTTGTCTTCTCATCAGGTAAGTTGCCAGCACATGAGCTGTACTACCCGCATTTCACAGAACGCAGAGGGCAGCAAGACCCCCAGCGCAAAATTCTCTGGATTTGTGATGAAATCAAGGGACAGCCTGAACAATAGTCATGATCGGGAGAAAAACTTTCCTACAAAACCCGATACCCAAGGTACAGATCTTTATTGCAGGCTGCAGCCAAGAAGCACCTGCCTTCGGAGGCTGCGGCGCCGCGCTCGCGCCTGAGCGGATCCATGGCAGGCAGAAATGTAGGAGTTTGCCTCCAGAGGTTGTGGGCCTTGCGGAGGGATGGAACAGGGTTTCGAATATCAATGTGCTGGTCCCGATTATCATTTGGACTAAGTAGCGTGGCACCACACGGTTCTTATGACCTTTGCCTGAGGTTGAGGAAGAGTGCAGGCCCTCTTCGGCATGCGAACCATGCGATGAAACAGCAAGGTGTTCATCATCTGGGGCTGGCCAAACTCACTGCTCCTCTTTTTGAGTGATACCTGCTGTATCAGCTGTGAGTAGTACAGTCCCCATTGTCATGACCATTTCCATCACTATTCTTCACGGGTCCTGGGTATCGTTGCATCCGCGACACCGAGTCGCGAGGCCCAGGTGGGCGTGGGGGCCTCCCCGCCAACCGCTACACTGGGGCCGGCCTCCTGACACAAAAGCTTGGACTGAAGGGCGACTACACCCTACAGAAGCGTTTAGAGGTTTTTGGAACAGGCAGACCAGGGCAATGCCTCAGCTGAGGCAACTAGCTTTGCTTTTGTGCGTTGTTGAGGCTTGACGGATTTGAGCTTAAGTTGGTCGGCCTCCACCTCGCAGACATCCACCCATGAGCACAGCGTGAGGTCGCTTGCCTGTTCCACATGTCGGATACTGCAACGGCTACTGCAACCTTCCAGTCAGCATGACCATTACAGTATCAAATATTTAGCACTGCATTCCTTTGGCTCTCAGCCCCACTAGCAAGCAATGGCAAGCCAAATGCTCTGGGACGCTGGCAATGCTCATTGTTTCCAGGGCATCCAAAGCCGCCCCATTGCTGCCTGCTGCTGGGGCGCAGCTGGACGCATGTCCGGCAATCTGTGCTGTTTTGGAGCAAGCTGCCTAGGCCCCGCTAGTCTGGGGAAGCATGTAGCACGCTTCGTGCTACGTCCCTGCACTGAAGATCGTTGCAGCTTAGCAACTTTGCAGAGAAGGCCACTCCTCCTTCTCCTCCTCCTGTAACGGCAGGGATCGAGTTCGTCAGCCACTACACCAACAGTGATAACATGTGATAACCTTCCTCATGTGCAACAGGCGAGACGATGTCCCAGCCACTCTCGTCGAAGTCGTCCTGGTCCAGGGCAACCCCTGGACTCTGAAGCAGTGAATTCATGCAGGGCTATCAGCAGGGCAAGACGTGAAAGAAGACTGCCCCGACAATCACCTGGAAATCCTCAGCCCAACCATGCCTCCTCTTCACGTTCAGGCGTAGCTGTGCTTTCGTTGGAGACCTCTGGGTCAGACGACTCGTACCACAGCTCGTGCTCCTGCACCAGACGAGTCAGGCCAGTGAAAGTTGAAGCCGCAACCGCTCAAGACTTTGGAGAGGCCTCAATGCTGTCGAGATGAACTCCCCGCTCAAGATCCAGAGACTGCCTGCGTAGTTCAGCTGCTAAGAGGCCAGAGGTCCCGACGAGACAGCAATTATTGCATGGTCAACCCACGTAGAACATGCGGAATCCTCTCGTGCTGTCCTGCACACATCTACTTAAGCACCACTTGACCGCTTGCCATCCACGGAAAGAGGCCACTGAGTCCATGGCTTTCCGGGATGCTTCTGCACCTCCAATGCTCAGCTCAGGCTGGGAAGGCGGCACAAAATACCCGAGAGCTTCTTAAAGAAGAGCCTCCAACTTAACCGCAATCCAATCAGTACAAGCCGGAGTCTGTATCCACGTGTGATACATGTAGTAGGGCTCTTGCGTCATCCATGCACCCACAACAAGGATTATTTTTCGAAGTTAAGGGCCCCCTAGAGAAAAGGCAAAACAGCAAGCTCCTTTGCATGCGGTCCTGCCAAAAGCATCTCCGGACTTCCGCGAAAAGAAACATTGTCATTGAAGATTGAGACTCCCATGTTCCAAGCGTTGCTCATCAGAGGGGCCTTGGTTCCGCCCATGGGACGGTGCGAAGCACGACGGCACCGTTTGTCGAAGGCAACCTGCCCGCCAACTGCTCTCGAGGATTCATGTTATTACCATGGTGCTCAGACCACTGAGAAATGAGTTTGTTATGCCACTACTCGAGAGGGTTCGCCTGGCCGGCGCAACATCTTGTCCTTCTCTCATGTGAGACGCGGGCAGTTCATGCTCCACGCTCCTCCGTACTTGTATCATGTTTATTGTCCCTGCCATGATCATACTGTGGAAAGATGTGGAAAAGAAAATTTGGGTCACGGAGCCTGCCTCCGGAACGTCCAGTCCGCAGGCGTAGCTGTTGCTGTGCCTCCAAAACAGGAAGGATCATCTGTCATCTGTGCTACAAGTCTGTTCTTAAAGTAGGAATCCAGCTGCCAACTTTTGAGCAATCTGTCAATTCGGCAGGCGTCTAGAAATTAAAACATGCGACCAGCTTTTAGGCTGATCAAAAACAGGTGCATTCGGCCTCGGCATTCTCAGGGATCCCAGGCCACGGGAATGGGGAACAGCTGAAATGCTTCGCTTATAGATTACGACTCGAGCCGAAGAGGCTGGTGCAACGAGCAGGGCACCCTGCAAGGCTACGACCACTTCAGGCAGCCTTCAAGCATAAATTCACTGCACCCGTCTGAACTCCGTTAGATGCCCTTCCGGTCAGACAGCAACACAAAAACCGAGGGTGAAAGCTGTGGGCGCCGAGGGAGTGCGGTTAATCGATCTCCTAATTTCCTAAACTTGAGAGCTTGCCATAGCTTGCCTCAGCACTCAACGGAATAAGCTCCATCGAAACTAGAAATGCCTTTGTTGAGGGCTACCGTCAGATGCTTCTTGCCACCAGGCCGCAGCTGCTTGCCACGGAGGACCACCAAACCTCGGCAGCAGCACAGCACAGATCCTTCTTCTCACTATGAACTCCCTCAGCTGGAAATTCATAGAGATCCAGCTTAAATCCCAATCATCATCTGTGCAAGTCGGAGTTTCCTTAGAGCCCAGCGCCACGGGCGGAGTTGCAACACCTGGTGCAGCCTTGGGCGCAGCCTTTGGCGCCTTCCAGTCACCAAGTTGTGCATGTATCTGGGGTCTGGATCTGACGCACGCTATGGAGACTAGAAGTGCTAAATTCCCTCAAGGCGGGCCGCTTTCCGTATCCCAAGAACCCATGCCATGATTTTCAGGACATCCAACATGGGCTGCCGCCTGCACAGCAGGAGACGCTGGTTTCCCCGACGGCACAGACGCCTCCAGAGGATAGACACAAATAGTTTTCAGGATTGTGACTCCACAAACAAACCATGCCATCGCGCCATTGCGTACTAGCATATACACGAGGAAAAGCTGAACATGGGCCCTGCCCGAAAGAACTATCCAGCATCTCGCCAAAGGGCGAGGAAAGGCAGCATGTGAAAGATATGCTGGTAAAGATGACCAAGAATATCAAGGTTTGGAACCAGACTGTTCGCACTAATACACTTAGTCAGTCTCCCTGCTCGCCAGCTTTGAGCGCAGGATTCCACTGGCTTTCAGCATGGCCTTTTCTGGAAAAGCCTCACGTTCCACAGCCTGTCGTCTGGAGCGATTGTCACAACAGCGGTTCATTATTGCTGCAGAGCTTGCTCATGACCTTATTATCCGCAAATTGTGGCATTGGTCAGTCCCTCTGCTCTAAATCATGAATGGTCTTGCATGGTGCCGGAGGAGTGGCCTGTGTAAGTTGGTCCGGAGCCCACTCCATGGTCACAGCGCGATGGAATGGGATGTGCGAGTAGGATTCCAAGAGAGCGTATGAGAGAACGGGAGAGGCTAAGAGGCACACGAGCAGCAGATCGTATTGGCACATATACACATATTAAGCATCCTTTCAAAACCATGTTGGCTCTCACCGTGTCCAAATGCAAATCTCCGCGAGCCTGTGGTGCAGCCGGTGCTGGTATCGGCGCCGGCGCCGGCGCGGCCTGCAACAAAAAGATGAATGTCAGGAATCAGACTGATACCCCGAAAGACACTACGACTGACCCGGACAGTCGTGCCAGCTTCAAGGACTCTTGTCTTCACACGGGACCCCAAGAAACATCCACATGCTTGAACGACAGTCCTGCTGTCATCTTCGGTGCTAAAATGAAGCTTCAATGTTGGCTTCCATGTTCGTTTCCAATATCCCTGTATGCCCCTACATAGCCCTACAATCCCAAACTCCAAAAACCCTCAACCTTACTGCGGACCCTCTGATTCCACTCCAGGCCTCCTCGGCTCTTTTCTTCACCATGGGTAGCTTGGCAGCGTAGGCCATACGGCTCAGGTGCATGGAAGCTACAACCTTCTCCTGTCAACCGACATTCCAGACATTCGATGTACGGGAAAGGACTTCGGGGGAACGTGTCGGAGATACCTCGACATCCTTCATGCCGTTCTGAGCTGAGCTGATCCACCTCAGCAGGCCAGGAGCAATTGCTCAGCTCTGGGAAGCTTGTCAAACATCTTGTTGAAAAGTCACCTGCAAAAGACTGGGGGCCGAGCGCGGCCATGATGGAGGTACCTTTCTCTGTGGCTTCGATGCCATATTTGGGCAGGACCTGCAGGAGGAATGACACCAGGCAGGACGTGCCTGCCTGCAATAAAGCCCCCAGGCAGTGATTTTGGGCTTCAGAGGTGACTGGAGAATTTGGAGGTGGCACTGCTGTGGATTTCAGCACTTGCCTCGAACTGGACATTTCGCGCTTCCTTCCTTAGAGGTGCCGGCTACTGTAGCGGGTCTCAAATGCACCGGCACGGCTTGGAGGTCCTAGAGAAAATATATCAGACTCTCTTATCTTTCACAGGCTCGACAGTAGAAATCCCGCGATTCCCATGTGGTCGCCAAGGCTGTACTGTTTGAGCTGAAAGCTGAGATGGGAGACACCTGTCATGGTGCAGTAAGACTGGGTTCTGCCGAGGAGCATCAGACTGCGGCGATCCTCACAAGCTTCAGCTGCCTTCTGGTACCTGGCTGCGAAATTTGCTCGATCGTTTGGCAGCTCTCTTCCGAAAATGCCAAATCCAGCAAAAATAGCAGACTGCTCATCACGCAGTATCTGCCATATGACACTGAGAATCCTGCTATTGAGTTAGGGTAGTCAGGCTCCCTGCAAACACACACAGGCGCTGAGATACCTCAACAACCCCAGGATTACGCAGCACACCTAAGTCTCTCGCCCAAGAAGACAGCTATGATGAGGTACTGACTGCCCCTGAAAGACAGTTCGGCGCACTCCGGCTGGCAGAATCCCTGATTCACCTCGTCCAGGAGCTTGCAAACCTGCCAAATCATGGGCGGGTACTGTTTCAATGAACAGGGTCCTTCATTGCTGCAATGCAAAACGTGATTTCATGAGCATGTCTTACCTTCCACCTGTCTTACTTGCAAGTCCGGAACATGATGCGCGCCCAATGGGCCGATTCTGAATTGTGATAGACATGAGCGCGGATTGCAAGGAGAGTCTCTACTAGTGCACGCTTCGGTGTTTAGAAAGAGCTTATCCATTTATGCCAAGACGCGCGAGCAGTTGCGTGTCCTAAAAAAACTTATACTGCCTGCACTTTCCCGATGTCATGGAGCACCCTGCACGTGAATAGGTAGAACCATCCTCACTCGGTATGCAGAAAATCCATAACATGATACAGCCTGTATACCACAGATGCCCTGAGAAGTCCTATAGTCCTACCTAATCCATACAGAGTCCTGATGAAATGCGCTCACGGATTGCTCTGATGTCGATCTTGGCATGCCACACCCATGCCACACAATGTAGCGGTTTTAACTTAACTTCATCTGGGCCTCGGCTTCTGACATGTCTGCATACATTTCCTAAATGCTGGTACGGACAAGAAGCCACATCATCTGAAAAACTCTAAACCGTACTCCCTATAGCCCTTGTTATATACACGTGGGAGTACATAAGGACATATGGTAGTTCCCTTAAGTAGGGGAACCCCAATATAGACCCCTAAATATTATAATCCTTACTATGGGGACCCCCAAAAGCGTACCCCTAACTTTGGAAACCCATGTAATACAAGCCTACATACGCCTAACGAGGATTGGACCGCCGCCTGGTCCACTCGCTTGGCCAGCGGGGCGTTCAGGTTCCAACCGTTTACGCTGGTACCGCCCCTCAGGTCATCAAGGGGCTTTCTGTTTTCTTTTGTGTTTTTGGCTTTTTTCGATGCTGTTTCGGCTTTCTGTCAAGAGGCCGTTCTTACGCTTTAGGCTCTAAAACTCTGTGGATGGGAAGTCTAGCAGAACTATAGTGTGACGGATTTATCACATAGATCCAACGGAACCTGCATGTTTCTGATGAGGATAATGACTTTGACATGCTTTACGAAGGCTATGAGCCCTAGGGATGCTCTTTCCAGCGACTTAGCTTCCTGGGAGTCTGAAGGGAATAAGGGAATATGATCCCTATGCCACCCCTATAATATGTTCCTCTGAGCCACCAGAAGAAACCGAGCTACTGGAAAGAAGGCTACACTGTGAGTGTTCGGTGACTTATGGCTGAAGGATCTGTTTTTAAGTAGCCAGAAGCTGCTTCAGCAAACTCCCATAGTCAAGACACGCAGTTGTCGAAATTGCCAATAGAGTTGGCACGCGCATCTTGCCCAATCACTTCGTACCCCTAAGAATGCCGTCTTCCCTCTCGTAAGCGATAGGTCTCACGCCACAACAGACCAGAAAGTAAGTGCAGCCAAAAAGGCCATTGCAACTACAAAATGTCTACCAACTTTGTTGCTGATAACCCCACCTTTCAAAGCACCGTTGCGGTAAGGGGTATCGCCATTTCAATTGCCAAGGTCCGCTCGAAAACTTGGCCATGACGCGCATAATGGCAGTCACCTGCGAGCAAGTGTGTAGTAACAGTCGCGGCGGCAGCAAACGGCGGGCGGTAGTTCTTGACGGACAACTGCAAAACAACTGCAGGACTTACAAGAGAAGTAGCTGAGGTCATGAGACTCGACATCTGCAAACTCGTTATCAAAGTTGTTCATACTAATGCTGGCACTTGCAGCGGCTGTTTGCTAGTTTCACTTCTCTCGCCCTATCGTTGCGCTTATAATGGACCCTTACCAACCCTCCATATGCTTAGGTGTCATTCGCGCCTCCAACTTGGAGCCCTCTCCAAGCTTCACTTCCTGCATGCTTCTTCCTATGAAGGCTTGGTCTTGGTTGTTGATGTCAAGATGACTTTTACTTGGACACGACCAAGATCGACGAAGCCTGGTACATGTCCATGGGAACAGACCTTGGAATGGCCACACTAGAAAAGTAGTAGGGGCAAAAGGTATGCTTGCAATGATGCAGTGCACGTGTAATCAATCGGTTATCATTGCTGTAGCTTGGCATCCGCACCTTTCCAGGCTAATGTCCTCTGTCCTGCAACATCTGGCATGCAATCAAGGCAACTGCCATGTTTACAGAACCTGCCTTTCATGCCTGTCTATTCCCGCACAGTCCTGGGACCCATCGCTTGCTTGACGATTCCCACGACATCCTGCTCAAGCCACGGATCCCAGTCATGACCACGAAGAAATGACTTGGTAATGCTTCCCCTTCTCGGTCCGGCTTGAACTCCACCTTCATCCCGCCCAGCGACTCAACGAAGCGCAGAAGCCGCCCGAGGCAAGTCCTTCCAAAGCTGGACCCAAAGCCTATTTGTAGTCATGGACTCTTTCATGTGAGCTCTCATAGTTTCACGGGCCCCTCTATGCCAGGTTCCATTCCCATTGCAATCATCCCCAGCATGATTTTCTGCTTTTCGAGATTGCACAGAGGAAGTGAAGCAAAAGCCCGCGTCCCGAAAGGCGCGCGGATTTCGCAGCCGCCCTCCACACCCCACATGATGTAGGTGGCCTGAAGCTCATAAAGTTGGTTGGTGCGCCTCGTGTTTAGGCACGCCCACTGACACCCGCCTGCATGGTCTCATCCGTCTGTGCCACCTGTGGGCGAGAAAAGCTGAGCGTGCATTGGATTGGAATCCCAGCCGCAGTTCTCGTTCAACTGAGCGGACACGGAAACTTGACTGCAAAATTCTTAGACCCAGAAAGCTCACTGAGCCCAAACCACCCACGCAGATAGAAAAAGGCCTGTGAAAGCCTCCATCAGGAGTCAAAAGGAATGCAAATGATGATTTGGGATGTCTTTACGAGATGTGACGCATGCTCCAGCAACAACTGGAGCACTGCTCAGGATGAGTCAGGCCTCTAAGCAGAAGCAAGCCTCAAACTGCTAAACTTCTGAGACATCCCTGGTGTTCCCAGGCTGTCTGACCTGCTGACTCAGCTTTTCGATGGCGGCAGAGGCCGGCAGCGGCAGACTCACCTGGGCGTTGGGGGATGTTGGTTTCGATGTTGTTGTAACAGAAATAGTAACAATTATGATAATAGTAACAGTAATAACAATACATAGTGAACCTGGAGCCAACCTTGCTCCGGGGCTGGGGATTTGGGATTCCCGCAGGGTCCAGAGTTTTCGGTTGACCCATGCTTGACCTATGCTTGACCTGTTACAAGGCTGAGCACGTCTGCTTCTCTTGCATCACTTACTTGAAATTCCTGTTTGACGCGCACCAAGAAATAAAAACAGACGAGGGAAGCCTGCCACGTTTGAACAAAGGGATGACTGCATGCTGCCGAACTCTGAGCCTAAGGCTCCCTTCTCGACAAGCTCTTTGGCAAGTCCAGGGTTTTCGGGGTTGACCTCTGCCATGCAGCATTCAAGAAACCCTGAGCCCCACCGTGACTCTCAGCACGCGGCGCGAATAAGGCGACCACCCGGGAATCTGAGCAGGTATGCAGTTCACTCTTTGCTGTAGAGGGGGAGGCGGCAAGGCGCCTCTGCACGACCTTCTCCAGCTCACGTCTAACAGTTGGAACGGTGAGCCCACAGCCCACCTCAGCATCAGGAAATTTGGAGCGTCAACTAGCTTCGCTTGCCCCAAGTCAAATATATAGAGCTGATTGAGGCCTGCACAAAGGGACTATGTCACTATGTCCACTTATTCTCTGGTTTCCTCAAGTTACTGGAGCAACTTAGTGACCGGCTTCCAGGCAGACGACGTTGAGACCTCGAGACAAAAAAAACTGCGAAAGTGCAGGTTTCATTCACAGAAAATCCATTTGTATAGTGATCTGCTTCTTCTTTGTACTCACAGGCAGCGCATTACATGAAAAATAGTTCAAGTGGATATTCAGTCGGCCAGCCAGTCACTCAGCAAGTCACATATCTGGGACAAAGTCTGGCAGATGGGCTGCTTTGCGCCATGGCAAGGAACGGCGGGAGAGTAAGGTTAGTCTGCAACTGAAATCAATGCAGCCGGGTTGCTTTTGACGTCTGGCCGTGATGCCAGGCCATTGACCCACGCATCATACCTACTTGATGCCCAAATCAAGAAAAAGCGTCGACAGGCCAGAACTCTCCGCACACCTGGTGTTCTGCGCCCCGCGGCGCGCCCGCGAAAAGCCCTGGCGTATCTTCAAGAAAACACTTTCTACTGCTCACTTCCGGTCATGACCTGCCCTTTGTGCAGCTGGAGAATCGATGTCAAATTACTGTGTTCCAGCTGACTCATCGATGGCTCTGCAGAGTAATTTACGTTCCTGATGTAAGGAAGCAAACAAACCCGAACAGGCTGTCCCAATGCACGCAGAAGCCACAGAATCGCCGCCGAACATCTGCACATTGGGTCTGGCGACTGCCTGCCGGGCCGTAGACCGTTTGGATTGAGGTCTAGGACTTTTGAGAAGTAATCAGAAGCGTTCAGCGGGCCCTGGAATGGGAGAACCTTCGACAATTCAGAGCCGGGACCCCATCCAAAAATCTGTCCCATTCTGTTGTGTGAAATCATAAGAACTCAGCTGGCACTACGGAGCATGTAAGCCTGCGAAAGCCGTACAACATCCAAGGTTAAATTCATCTTTGCAATCGGTCCCTGAAAAGTCATGTACATTTTCTCACCCAGAATGCCGGAAATCTTTTCTATAGAATTGGTAGGGGGCCCCGTCCGATCCATGCCCGAAAGGCTCAAATATGTTTGATCTCAGAAGCGAAAGCTCCACTTTGGCACTACATAAGCAACACCTGTCATATATTAAGCCAATAGAATCTCTCAAAGCACCCAAATCAAACCGAAAACGAAACATTTAGGAAGGACAAATTCTGACTCAAACTGTGCCTTGCACTTGGGACAGACTGGCAGCGCCTGAGGTGAGCTCAGAAGCTGGGACGCTGCAGTTCAAATCTTCCAATGGGCTCAGGGCTCAGTACGGCTCAGCGGTTTTTGGGCTTAAGGCTTACCAGGAGGATCAGCACAAATACAGACTAGCAAAGGACGCAAGGAAAAAAAAGTAATGTTGCTTGAAACGACGCCTGTACTACGGAAACTATTCTTTAAAGTGTGAGTTGGCAGTACCATCAGCAGGGAAATGTTTGGCTGCTAGGCACGGCAACCTCATTTCCTGCGTGCCACGTGTTCCAAGGTCCTTCCAACAAAAAGGGCAACTGGAGAAGAAGGCTTCAAAGGAGCCGGATCCATGATCTACAGCTGAAGGCTGTAGGGCTTGAGGGAGTGTTGAGATTCAGGCTTTTGGGTTTCGGGTCTGCTCTGGCAAATTGAGCCTCTGCAGATAGCAAACCGGCTCCTGGGATATGCGCTTGAGGTAAAAAATGTCCCATGCAGTACCTGAGAACGAAAACTAAAAACTAGTGTCCAAATTCGTGGCTGAGAAGTGCTAACCCTTGATACAGCTAGGTGGCATTAAGGCTTCTTCCAGGCATCTTCCACCCAAGGCCCACACTCCCTGCACCCGATGGGTCTGTGGATCTTCCGCCAGCGATAAGTCTGTTGGGGCCTGTTGCATCATGGTTGCAACACCAAGGTGCCTGGCTGACAGCAGGGAGCCTTCCACACATCCGGGCAGCAGGGCTTGGAGCACTGGAGCCACTTCACCGCCCCATGAACCTGGGGACAGCGAACAAAAAATACAGCAACGCAGCTGCATAGGGTAGAGAACAAATCTCAGGGCCCGCTGCCTCCAGCACGCGGTCTGCCGACATGCCAGAAGTTATCCTCGCAGGAGCACGTAAAGCTAGCAGTACCTGCACATATAGTCCATGTACTGCACTCCAGTGCACGAGTGCCCCCCGGTCCAGTGGCTATCAATGTTCGACGTGAAGGAAAAGAAGCCGAAGGGACACCTCTGACCTGAGGAGCGGCTAGTAGCGGCTACTAGGGAAAAGGAAGGAAACACTGAGACAAAGATTATACAGGAGCCTCAACGCCAGTAATTATATGTTCGCGACTTGTTGTTGCTTCTGTGATTCGTACTGTATGGGATCGTTCTCCAACTTGAGCTGAACATACTACAATTATGCATCAAGAGTTGGACACACATGGAAACGGGGCATCACAGCTCACCATTTGAATCATGCATGGTCTCAAGAAGCAGGGCCACAGTTTTCTTAGTCGAGCGGCCGTGTCCTGTCCAGAGACAGTAGTTCGCTTCTACATGCATGATCTCTGCCGGCAGCTGCAAGCGTTACACAACACTTGAAGCAGAAGAACAAGAAGCTTCTGTAGGCCAACTTTTGTCCAGCGCTCTTTGCGTGTCTCGCTGCATGGGCGTTTGTGGAGATGAGAACCCCTGCGGTGATCTCTTGTTGACAAAAAATCATCGTCAACATAAACAAACGCAAAGGGATCCGATTCCGACAAGGCCGTAAATCCATTGCTACTTTGAGTTGCGCAACGGGTCTATAGCGCCACGATCTTCTTCGACGGCACATGGAGCTATATCAGAGTAAAACTTCCTCTTGTGGTGGCACTGTGCATGGAGGGGGGAGCACCTTGTTGGGATCCGGCCATCCAAACCAGCTTAGAGCACCACCTCTAGGTATTAGTCAGCTGGAGGTTGTCCGCTGCCAGCCTCTAAGAAGACTGACATCGGAGCGTGACTGAATGCTGTCTTGTAAATATGTTTCAGGTTTGTGGCTGTGCACCTGACAACATCATTGCAAGAGGTCAGGAGGGGTGACTGTAGCATCAGAGGGCAGTCTTGCAGGTTGAACCAGCCGAGAAAAAGACAAGATATTTCTTTTTGGCACGTTCAATGCGCTGGGATCCCGCAACTTACGGGAACCAGCCACATCTTTGCGCTGCCTGCGTTACATTCCATAGTCATGCCGAGGAGGCAAGGCATTTACCGGTGGTCGCTCAAAGTTCCACATCTGCATCGGTAGACCGCTGGGGTGGCCCAGAAACCGCCACCTGCCAGGCTAAAAATTTAGCAGCAGCACGACATGGTACGACCCAAGCCAGTAGTTCTGCAGGCCTGCCACGTGTCAGTCTGCACATCGAGACCCAGTCCTTAACGACATCGAAAAACAACAAAGCTGTCTTTGACGGAGCCTTACAAGAGAGCGCGTCTGCCAACAGGTGAAAAAGACTGCTCTCAGCTGGTTGAAGCAACGCCAGATGCTCACTGGGCCTCCTCGCCTCCTCCACTATAAATACGACAATGACAGACACAACACATCCCAGCCAAGAATCGTAAGAGCTTTGTGCATCCTTGTTTGGGAGCAGCATGGGTCCAGCCCACTGACCTGGAAGACGGTTGAACTGGGAGACTTCAGTCATCCTCCAATCATTTGATATGTAGCATTATGTAGCCTGATGGGACGTCCAGCTCATACATCTCATCGGATGTCGTCAACGCCAGAGCCTTAGACAAGGCGCTTAATCCACTTCCCCCTGATATTCAAAGCCTCCGCTAATATGAAGTACAGGTTCACACAATTCCAAGTAAAATCAGCTGAATTAGGGTGGATCCGTAGCATGACTTTGAAGGGTTGGGGATCTCCTTGATTTTCTAGTTGTTGATTGTTCTTGAGTTATGTTTGAAAAAAGGATTCTAGATAAGCTCCAAGAACAAAATCTAAAATCCGAATCCTGAAAACTGAACCTTTCCCAACCCTCCCAGCCCTACCCAGCTTGATATGTTTTAAAGCTGGAATTCATGATCTTCTTACATACCCCCCCTAATCCTTCAATCTCTTGCAAGTGCGATTGGTACGGCTAGATGACTCACCACTGGCATGAGCAACACAAAACGTCATGATGAATTTACGAGAGTCCTGCTTTTGGTCGCACACCTGTTTAATCCCAACTTCCCGACATAATTACAATCCTCTCTGTTGCCAGGCAACACGTCCCATCCTGACCGCAACAGCACTGAACTTGCTGCCCCTCAGTTGAGGTCATGCTCCACATGTTCTCTTCCCTGTGATGGTCATGGTGTGTTAGCATAGATCGGGCCGACCCAACCAATTCCAAGTACATTGGCAAAGGAGCATGTGGAACGATGCACGCACAGCACCCAAGTTGATTAGGTGGAGACTGGGTGGAGCCGGAGGAATCCTTGCAACAAGCACCCTCCTGGTCACCCAACGAACCTAAAACTACTAATCACTACCTATAAATGGACCAGGCGGAGCATGCGGAGCGTTCCATATGTGGATGAACATATATTAGCTTCTAGCACACTTGTAGCCCTGTAGCATTTCAAAACCATGCGCATGAGCATCTTCTTTGATTGCCACGCATACGACTGCATACGTCGTGTATGGCCTACCTGCCTGTTCACCTGTAAACACACGTACATACACATGAGAACCCCCCCAGAGCCGCCAGGGGGCTTGACAACAGGTGCATTCAATACACCAACTTCCTTCCACTTGTGTGGCTCTCTTCGAAAGGCGATGAGGCTGCCGTCACCTGAGAAGCACTGTATCATAACCAATAACAAGAAGATCATACTATAAGACCTATAACCCCAATATTATAGTAGTTTCCATTTTCCTTTCCATTATCCCATATACCCCCAATATACTATATGACCCCCATACGTGCAGAACAAACTTTGGAACTCCGTTGCTTTGTCCGTCGGTGTCTTAGGGCCCTCGCGAATGGCGATGGCATCGAGATGGTATATGCCCTGCCCAGCCCAGCTTTGCGTTTTTCAAAATTTAGCGCCACTTTGGGTGCAGCAAAATTGTAATGTCAGTATTGTAATGACAGGGAACCGTTGTTAGTAACATTCCTTATCATTCCCAATTATTGATAGTCCGCATATCCTAAATGTTCCTAATGCTCTCGATGATCTTTATTTGCGCAGCTTTCCGAAGGTATTCCGAGTCCAAAAATTTAAAACCTCTGAACTCTGGCTATTTCATATTCTTCCTGACATTCCAAATTTGCTGCGGCATCTCTGATGTTTGGGGGACAGTTCGAAAGGCTATTGACACCCTCCGGCTAGAGATAGACATGCTTTGGCGGTTCATGTGCTACAAAAAATATTCGAACATTGCTGCATCTTCTGCGAGTGCCATCAGTACCAGTGCTACTGGATACAAAATCCTTACAATGATCCTTTACCACTAGTTGCACTCATTGGGTGATTGGGCCAACTTCAGCCTGGAAACCTATCCCACACTATCTGATGCAAACGCTGATGCAACTTAGTCTCACAACCTCAAGGCCCAGCACAGGAGTCCGTAATCGCAACGAATCCCACTCAAAAATGATTGCGAGATGTTAGATGTTCAACCTGACTCATAAACACTCAGAAGAAATTCATGCCATCGGCCCAAAAAAGCGGATGATGCCTCCAAGGGATTGCGGTCCACAGCAAAATCATTCAAGCTTGTGGCATTGGACACCCAGAGTTGCTCCTGCACCTGGGCCAGGCATCTCAACAACCGATAAACCCGAGCCAAGGAACCTTGAACAAAAATCGCAGGCAAATTCCTGCTTCAATGGCCTTGCCTAGTACCGAAATGCCAAAATGCTTCTGACTTGGATTTAAACCTGAAGCAGAAACTGAAGCGATGCTGAGCTCACGACCTTCGCCCCAGAAAGCCACGTGCTCTGGATACCTTTCCTTACAGTCCAGGTTTAAGGCCGTCAGCAAGGGCCAAAGCTGGCATTACCAGCTGGCAAGCTTCCGCTAGAGCACACAAAACTGATCTTGAATTTCTGACGAAGCGGCTCGCAGGTGGCGAGCACCTCGCCTTGCTGGCCGAAGTCCACAGCCAGGATCTTGGCGCCCTCGCAGGCGCCAAATTCCAGCCAGACATTGCCCTCCTGCATCAGGCACACCAGGCATCCGTAAAGGCGAAACTTCTAGCCTCTCCCAGGACACGTGCCTCTGTTAAAATCTGCACGACCACGGAATCTGTGACGACATAGTGCTCTCCTTCGATTGCTGAACTTCCAACCAGTCCCGAGCATCAGTCATCTCAACAATCCGTGCCTTCGAGAGTGCACCCAAATGAGGTCACAGTCCGCCACCTTTTCTGAAAAACGATTGCCCGGACCATGAAGATAAAACTGCTAAGCAAATTTCCTCAGGTACACACGGAGTCTCCAGAGTGAATTCCTGCATGGTACCGCTGAGAGAGACGTGCTGAAAGAGCTCAGTAGCGGCCACGATGGACCACACCCAAACCTTCCAAGTAATCTGCGGCACCAGACGTTCTCAAAGCTACGACCCTGTGGTTGGACCGCACATGTCTGCACTTCGCAGGGGTGCCTACCCAAGGGCCAAGCAGGGAGACCATGACTCATCTGTTTCTAGCACAATCTTTCGCGTTTCCTGAATGTTGAAGTGAGGTTATGTTATCCCAGTCACGGTGTGCAGCTGAGAGGCCATGGTCCAAAAAAGACACACCAGGCCCTGAGTTCATCGTATACTCACACAAGCACTTGCAGGGAGTGCAGGAGGACGAGCAGTTCACAGATCTTGCAAGACACTCAACTGCGCGAGCTTCCAATTTTTCCTCCCTCACGACCTTCAACCCGTCAGCTAAGGCGCCATGGCAACTTTGAACAGGAAGTCCGCGGAAGGCACGAATGTTCGCATCCTGTCCTGCTCGTGGCTGGTGGTTGACACGAGCTCACCCTCGCACGGAGGCCAAGCCCCCACTCCCATAACCCCCGGCTACAAACTGCGGTCCCACAAAACACCCTCTTACCAAAAGGACAGCGTTTTTTTAAGAATCCCGTCGGCTCTTTTACAGCGTCTAGGCCTCAGGGTTAAGGCTGTGTACTCATTTAACGGGAAGTTGTGAATATCCATGCGGGGCCTCTATGCGACTATATCCTCAGGTTACCATCATGCAACTCAGGGTCCGAGATATTCTCGAACT